GGAATAAAGTGTTAAGAGGTGAAAGTAAGTTCAGGATAGAGCCGGACAAAGATGTTTAAGAGGTTGAAATGGTCTATGGAATAGAGGGTTCCTCCAGGTGTCCAATATATCTGCAAGTGCGAATGCCCTGTTCATCCTTCTAAGGCTCCATAATATCCCACAATGTCATCCACCTTTATGTAGCCTCACTGCAACTACCATCAGAAGAGAAAATAACCCATGTGGCTGGAACTGAGTAGGTCACATTTTTCTGAGAAAATCATAAATAATTTGAAATGATATATCAACTTATTTAGCCATCAAACCAGAAACTCAACAAAGATGCCTAAATCACTGAGTGTAAGCCAGGACGTTCTGAAAATCAAGGATGTTTTTAAGGTGTCTCTGGCTGAGCGTACTGAAACTGAGGCATGAGAGCTCTTACAGAAAGTCTCCATTTAAGATGGAGACACTTTATTTTAGGTTTCTACAGGTGTTAATGCTCCCACAGTCAGAGCTCATCAGCGCAGCCAGGAAGTCCAAGAGAGTGACTTGGCTGACAAGGCACAGGCTGTCTAAAGACAGGGGTGTAGTATTAGACTCCGCTAGGTAACCTCTCCAGCTGAAGAACACCGATCTCCCTCAAGCTCTTTGTCATATTTGCCAGTCCTGAAAAAGTGTACAAGATACTCCTGGGGCATCATAAAAGGGATCAGATACTTATCTTCAAGCAACTGAAGCTGACCCAATACAGCTTCTTTAGAGTGAGCTGAATTAACTTCTAGGCTTTTTCTTTACTGCCTGAAAATAAATGAAGGGGTTTCTCTGTAACTTTCTGTGTGTGCTTTCATGAAATAAATGTTCAGACAACAAATTGAACACAAATTGAATAAGAAGGTTGTTTATCTCTTTTTACCAAATGTAAAGATGTATTTAAACAGTCAATTAAGAAACACCTGCCTGCAAAAGTTGTACTTGACAAGGTGAATCAACTTTAAAAAGAAAAAACAGAGAAGCTGTGAGGCTTCAGCATGTCTGCAAATCATTTAAATCCTAAAAATGGATGTACATACTCAGGGTAGGAAATGTTAGCCACAGGCATTTATAACTGCCCACACAGAAAGTCAATGACATAACTGAGTTAGAATTGAGGAGTTCATGGCCCTTTGCCCTAAGTTTCATTCACATGCCCACAGTCTGTCTAACTTTAGCAAAGAACTTCCTACTCATTGTATGCTCTTATTTATTTTTTTTCATCTATACTCAACTGAGAGGGACCATACTTGAGTCACTGTCTCAGCCTGTGCACACAAATCTGACTCAGATTCATATTCCTGCATGCCATTTCACTTTGAAACTGCACAGGAAAATTAAAAACAGCTTTGCAATTTTGTACTAGCTACAGACCTCTGGTACTCCGTGCCCATGAATGTGTTAAACACACTAATCAGACTAATCTGTTTGTAGATAAATAAGTATTACAAAGTTATTGTTAAAGAACAATTCAATTTTGATAGATTAACATTGAGCCTGACTTCTTACCTACAAAGAAATGTTTAAAGCTTAAAAAAAAAAACCCACAGTCCCATCACACCACTTTGATCTGCCATTTCTGGTTTGCCTTTTTATTGTATGAACAGAACAAAAACAATTTTGCAGACCTAAGGCAGAAAAGACACAGCACACTACAACTGAAAGAGATGAACTTCAAGAGGAAGTCTGTTTAAATATGAGAAATCAACAAAACCCGATTATTTTTCCACATTCAGCTAAAGTCAATCTAAGTGATAGGTCTTCGCTGCAGAGCCCTTTATGCAATAAAGCGAATTGCTCTTTGACAGTGAGTAGCTGAGAGTACAGCAAGAATCTTTTTCACATAATGATAACCTTTTTTATGAGAAGGGAAAAAAATATTTATCATTGACTATATTAAATAAGCCTTTGGACAGGAAGTCTTACAAAAAGTGTAGCTCTCCTACAACTATTCAGATCACCATGTCTCCACTGTGAGTCCCCATGGGACACACTGGCACAGAGCTGCTCTCAAAGGTAGCACCGCACAAGCCCACGAAAGGCTTGCTCAGATGGGCACTGAGCAGTGATAGAATGTTCAGTCAGCTAAGGGCTGGCATTGTAGTCACCAAGAAGAACATGTTAGTGTGGGGATCCCGCAAAGGCGATGGTAATATGGCTGGGCAGGAGGCTGCCTGATTATCCCAACTAAAATATAACAGACCTCAAAAACACAGGAACTTTCTTCATATCCCCACTCTGGTGATAAACTAATGCTCACAGTGTTGCTCTAGGCAGCAGATTAAGCTGACATGAAATGAGACTATGCCTGTATTTTGCCATGTTCAACTCTGACTAACAGTATTAAAATAGCAAAAGTTACAGCCAAGCAGAAATTTACAAAGAACCCAACAAAAACAAACAAACAAACAAAAAACCCAAGCCAAAACATCAGCAAACCTTTTTTAAAAAAGCCTAACAATTTAGCACTCCCACAGCCCCAGGGTTCTTCAGGTCACAGAAAAAAAGTTACCAAAACCGGCTTTCCTAATAACAATTACAAAAGTTCTTATAACTTTTATAGCTACTGGTTAATGTGAAGCAGATGGCATACAGCACAGAACTATTGAAAAATTTAGGTGGAAAGGTAGTCCAACTGCCTGCTCAAAGGCAGGTTACCTTCGAAGCTGGATCAGTTGCAGTAGTAGAATCACTGAACCATGGACCTATTAGGTGCCAGGATGAGTCCAGGAAGAACAGCCACCTGCTCCTGGACCAGGACGGGAACCTGATGATCTCTTCTGGTGTTCAGGAACAATGCAGGCTCCTGACAAGTCATTAGATGTGCTTTTTGCATGCTGAAATTAGATGCCCATCTTGTTTATCCCCACATCTGAAGAACACTGACACCAGGAGAAGTTCTTACTGCGTGTACTGAGAACCTCTGAGAGCGCCTAAGGACCATTGGCCGTCGTGGCTTCCATCATTTCGGCCGTGCTCCGCCGGTGCGATGCGGGAGGGCTACGAAGAATCCGCTGCTGAAACCAGAGCAGGGTGGGCACCCCCAGGGGGCAGCCCAGGGGGCAGCCCAGGGGACACCTCAGGGGACACCCCCAGGGGACACCCCCCGGCCGCCCCGCC